TGTTAGCCCTATACAAATCAACTATTATATCCAGCAAGGTAATGTAACCTTGGTGACATATTTAAATCAGCACAATTGAGCAGATTTCGCAAAACATTATTTGTTGAGCCCTGCACACACTTATTTCTCAAGTCTCCTCTTATGGACTAATCCTGTCATCATCAACATAATCATAGACAGAAACACACAAGGCATGTTAGGAATGGCATATTACCTACGGTTTTGTAAAGTAGAATGCAGTATATGTATACTGTGCACATTATCTGAAATGAGTAACACTTCAGAATAGGGAACACATATTCACTATTAACTAAGAGTTTTCCCTTAATAAACTCCTAATTTGCTGCTAATCAATAATTCGTAGATTTTTTAAATGTTTCTGAAAAAATCACCAAGGCTGTGTTTTTTTGATGAAAACTAAAGTAAAAACAGTATTATAGTGAAATATTATTACAATTTAAAATAACTGTTTTCTATTTTAATATATTTTAAAATGCAACTTATTTCTGACATGGCAAAGCTGAATTTTAAGCCACACGATCCTTCAGAAATTATTCTAATCTAATCTTATTTGGTGCGCAAGAAACATTTCTTATTATCAATGTTGAAAACAGGTGTGTTTCTTAATATTTTTGTGGAAACTGAACTGACAAAACACTCATATGGGGTAACTGTTGAAGACATGCACAAAACTCACAACACGTTGTTAACTATGATTCTACAAATTGAAATGTCAGTGTGTGAACAGCAACAACAGGTAATAAATGAACTCAGTCAGGCTGAAATGACATGTTACACTTCAAAATGCTTCGCAGGGTTTAACAAGTATGCTAATGAAGGGGAAATCACTAATGAGCAAGAGGAAGAATCATGCAGTGTTTACTGACATCAATCTAAGCACACACACAAACACACAATTACTTTTCACCAGGTACATACTGTACTGAATGTCAAATTTTGCTAAGCAGCATTAGCCTGTCATTAGCTGCCCTCAACATCTGATGACCCTCCAAAGGACCGTCCACTGTCCTTTTATTGACTGTCTGATGCTGCACACAAAAATAGCAAGCGCTGACTAAAATCACCATTTCCGGTCTGATTGACTGGCTTTATATGGCCTCTAAATGTAAGTGCACAAAGGTTTTGTGAGTAGTGCAGTTACAACGTATGCATCACAGAGAAGAATTAATTACTGTAGTAAAATCTACTGCATGCAAATGTACCCCTAAATGGCAAATAAATAAAAAACAAACTTGATCAGATGGTCTCTTCCTGTCTTTTTGGTCAGATTAAGCTGCAATATGGATCTCAAGTAATATGGTGAGTGCTTGTAAACACACCCTTATTCCCTGTCAAAGTTTATGTGTATACATAAAAATGAAAATCAAAGACATCATTTTCGTAGATTCCTCTCAAGGGACATTTCCTTTGAAATTTAAATGAGATAAAACAAGTTATTTGTGATATTATCAAGCATTATTTTTAAGTATGAAAATTATGCTACCATTCAAAAGGGTCAGTAAGTTTTTTGGCATTGCCACCATTTTTTTACATTTCAAATAAATGGTGTTCTTTTTGTTACGATCTCTTTTTGAATCGCAACAAAATAAGTGAGTCACCACACACCGCAGCTAATTATTAAGTGAATTTGAACTTCTGAACTCTATTTGTTGTTGTTGCTGTTGTTGTTGAACAATCCTTAAAAAAAACTTAAAGAATCGCAGTTTCCACAAAATTATTAAGCAGCACAACTGGTTTTAACATTGAAAATAGTAAGAAATGTTTCTTGAGCACCAAATCAGCATATCAGCATATTTGATTTCTGAAGAATTATGTGACACTGAAGACTGGAGTAATGGCTGATGAAAATTCAGCTTTGCCATCACATTAATAAATTACATTTTAAAATAAATTAAAATAGAAATATAACAGACCCCAAACTCTTGAACAGTAGTGTACATGAAAATAATTTCAACTGTTCCAGGTTGCAAAAATCTAATTATCAAAGAATTTCTACATAAACTATTAGCAAAAGTGTTAGCATTGCTTGACAAAATGAAAACAGTAACTTAATTGGTATCTGTGTGATTGCCTGATTCAATTAGTTCAGCTTCATTGGCTTGCTGATACTGACTAATATTCTAGTAATTTCATCAACCGCAGTGTCAAGATAAATATGACTGACATGTGCTGATCTGGGATCATGTTCATCTTATTACAACTATGATCTAAATGTTCATGTACACAAAGCCATTGCTTATTTGAGATCTGCTTACACTAAGCAGATCAGATGGTTAAACTGATCTGAGGTCAGTTTTCAGCTGTTTAACAGAGAGGAACTAAAGGCATTCAAGGCCTGATCTGAGATCTGTTTTAAAGGAAGCTTCTAGAAATTATCCAACAAAGCTGATATGATTTGTTATGGTAGCAGTGCAATAAACCTTTGCACTCTGTAAGTAGCACTAACAGAGAGTTAAATGTAAAAAAGTCGTTCAATGGGCCAAGGCCAAACAGTGTCAGAGAAATAAATAGCTAGTTACTAAGTGACTGCTTAAGCCTATCTGTAGATGAAAGAGAGATCTATAACCTTACATTGTCCTGTTATAATGACACCCAACTCTCATGCTACAAAACAGGTGGCCTCACTGTTGCAGTCACATTTAACTCTCAGAATCTCACATGGGTCAAAGGAGAAAGGTCACCTGATACATGGATACTGAATTGTGGGGGGTGAGAACCAGAGGTTAGGCACTAAATTCTGCTACACTTTTTGCCTGCAGGGTCTGTCTTCCAGTCTCAGGGGCTGTTTACACGACAACGTTTTCAGCCAAAACCGGGAAACTTTATATGCGTTTTGCCTGTTTGTTTACATGACAACGGCGTTTTGGGGACTGAAAACACAAATTTTTGAAAACGGGTTTCAAAGTACAAGTTTTTGAAAACGGCACCGTTATCGTTTCCGTGTAAACACCCAATATGGGAATCTTTGAAAACGGTGACGTCATGCGCGTGCGTAGTACATGTTAGGTATGTAGACATACGCAGTACGTGTCGATTTTAAAGGCAAGCGCAAACAAACATACACAACAATGGCGGAGTATATGGTACTGTTGTTGCCGTTTAAGAGTTTGCTAACGCTTCTTCAGCAAAGTGTGGATTTACTTCACCAATATTACAACCAACAGCGGAGAGGCATCATATACACACGGCAACAGGTACTGTTTACTAACAAGGTGACAGCGCCAACTACTGGCCTGGCATACGTAATACAGAGTTTTGGGCCGTTTTCGCGGGTATGTGTAACCGCAAATCGTTTTGAAAACGTTGTCGTGTATACGTGAAACTTTTTTAAAACGCAAGGGAAAAACTTTTCCGTTTTTGACTACACCGTTGTCGTGTAAACGTAGCCTCATTCTTGTATGGAAGCTTACCACAGGATACAAAATAAAGAAGTTAATTGTGACTTTTTATCTCACAATGCTGACTTTTTCTTGCAATTCTGAGTTTATATCTCACAATTCTGACTTTTTTTCCTCAGAATTGCAAGATTTAGTCACAATTGCGAGTTAACATCTGATCTTTATATCTCGCAATTCTGAGAAGAAAAGTTAAAATTGTGAGATATAAATTCGAAATTGCAATAAAAAAAAAGGAATTACATTTTTTATTTTTATTCTGTGGTGGAAACAACAACAACAAAAAAACAGGATTGTGAGATATAAACTTAGAACTGGCAGATGTAAACTCGGAATTGTGAGCAAAGAAATCAGAATTCTGTGTTTATATCTCACTATTCTAAATTGTGAGAAAAAAACTCTCAATTGTGACATAAAAATTCAGAATTGTGGGATAATAGGTCACAATTACCTTTTTTTATCCCATGATGGAAACAAGCTTCCATATTCTTCCCACATGGATAGCTTTATATATACATTTATAAAGGGAATTTTACACTCTGTCTGCTCAACAATTCGAACAATTCTACTGTTCTCATCTTATCAAAATGCAACACAAAGCTGACACAATAAACAGGTATTTGTGAGGGGTCAAGGGTCAGGGTAGCCGTCAGTATGTTCATCAACAGACTGACCTCTACAACAAATTCCCCTCTTTGAGAGGAAATAAAATCAATCAGTAAGAAGCTGCTTCAAATTAATTTTAAAATGAGCTCAATTAATCAACAGCATTTGGTCTTTTGATTAACAAAGAACATGTGCATGTAGACTAGATGCTGTCTTGTGTCTCATATCCTTTTGCCCTTTCAGGAATAAACATTAGTCCAAACTGACATTGATATTGTACATACTAGTCATAGCATGCCAAGTGCCAAGTACTGACTGATTCTGAGCCATCAGTGACTGTCCAATATGCACTACAGCTACAACTATACAATGTGTGTGTGTGTGTGTGTGTGTGTGTGTGTGTGAGAGAGAGAGTGAGAGAGA